TTTTTCTACTTATTAAAAATGGGGTCTTTATAGTATTTTATATTATGTTAATACCCCGTCTCTTTAAAATGCTGCAGTAAAAAGGTTTCATGTGAAGTACATATAAAGTATGGGATGTCCTGTATAAGATCTGACCATTGTTTTTTTCTACTTATTTGAAATGGGGACTTTATAGCACTTTATTTTATGTTAATACCCCATTTCATTAAAATGCTGCAGTAAATAGGTTTCATGTGAAGTAGAGATATAGTATGGGATGTCGTGTATAATAACTGACCATTGTTTTTTTTTTCTACTTATTTAAATTGGGGTCTTTATAACACTTTGAAATATAATATTATACAATTTCTCCAAAACACTGCAGTAATAAGGTTTCATGTGAAGTCCACACATAGTATGGGATGTCCTGTGTAAGAACTGACCATTGTTTTTTTCTACTTATTTAAAATGCGGTCTTTATAGTATTTTATATTATGTTAATACCCCTTCTCTTTAAAATGCTGCAGTAAAAAGGTTTCATGTGAAGTACATATATAGTATGGGATGTCCTGTATAAGAACTGACCATTGTTTTTTTCTACTTATTTAAAATGCGGTCTATATAGTATTTTATATTATGTTAATACCCCTTCTCTTTAAAATGCTGCAGTAAAAAGGTTTCATGTGAAGTACATATATAGTATGGGATGTCCTGTATAAGAACTGACCATTATTTTTTTCTACTTATTTAAATTGGGGTCTTTATAACACTTTGAAATATAATATTATACAATTTCTCCAAAACACTGCAGTAATAAGGTTTCATGTAAAGTCCACACATAGTATGGGATGTCCTGTGTAAGAACTGACCATTGTTTTTTTCTACTTATTTAAAATGCGGTCTTTATAGTATCTTATATTATGGTAATACCCCGTCTCTTTAAAATGCTGCAGTAAAAAGGTTTCATGTGAAGTACATATATAGTATGGGATGTCCTGTATAAGATCTGACCATTGTTTTTTTTCTACTTATTTGAAATGGGGACTTTATAGCACTTTATTTTATGGTAATACCCCATTTCATTAAAATGCTGCAGTAAATAGGTTTCATGTGAAGTAGAGATATAGTATGGGATGTTGTGTATAATAACTGACCATTGTTTTTTTCTACTTATTTAAATTGGGGTCTTCATAACACTTTGAAATATAATATTATACAATTTCTCCAAAACACTGCAGTAATAAGGTTTCATGTGAAGTCCACACATAGTATGGGATGTCCTGTGTAAGAACTGACCATTGTTTTTTTCTACTTATTTAAAATGCGGTCTTTATAGTATCTTATATTATGTTAATACCCCGTCTCTTTAAAATGCTGCAGTAAAAAGGTTTCATGTGAAGTACATATATAGTATGGGATGTCCTGTATAAGATCTGACCATTGTTTTTTTCTACTTATTTGAAATGGGGACTTTATAGCACTTTATTTTATGTTAATACCCCATTTCATTAAAATGCTGCAGTAAATAGGTTTCATGTGAAGTAGAGATATAGTATGGAATGTCGTGTATAATAACTGACCATTGTTTTTTTTCTACTTATTTAAATTGGGGTCTTTATAACACTTTGAAATATAATATTATACAATTTCTCCAAAACACTGCAGTAATAAGGTTTCATGTGAAGTCCACACATAGTATGGGATGTCCTGTGTAAGAACTGACCATTGTTTTTTTCTACTTATTTAAAATGCGGTCTTTATAGTATCTTATATTATGTTAATACCCCGTCTCTTTAAAATGCTGCAGTAAAAAGGTTTCATGTGAAGTACATATATAGTATGGGATGTCCTGTATAAGATCTGACCATTGTTTTTTTCTACTTATTTGAAATGGGGACTTTATAGCACTTTATTTTATGTTAATACCCCATTTCATTAAAATGCTGCAGTAAATAGGTTTCATGTGAAGTAGAGATATAGTATGGAATGTCGTGTATAATAACTGACCATTGTTTTTTTTCTACTTATTTAAATTGGGGTCTTTATAACACTTTGAAATATAATATTATACAATTTCTCCAAAACACTGCAGTAATAAGGTTTCATGTGAAGTCCACACATAGTATGGGATGTCCTGTGTAAGAACTGACCATTGTTTTTTTCTACTTATTTAAAATGTGGTCTTTATAGTATTTTATATTATGTTAATACCCCTTCTCTTTAAAATGCTGCAGTAAAAAGGTTTCATGTGAAGTACATATATAGTATGGGATGTCCTGAATAAGAACTGACCATTGTTTTTTTCTACTTATTTGAAATGGGGTCTTTATAGCACTTTATTTTATGTTAAAACCCCATTTCTCTAAAATGCTGCAGTAAATAGGTTTCATGTGAAGTAGAGATATAGTATGGGATGTCCTGTATAAGAACTGACCATTGTTTTTTTCTACTTATTTAAATTGGGGTCTTTATAACACTTTGAAATATAATATTAAACAATTTCTCCAAAACACTGCAGTAATAAGGTTTCATGTGAAGTCCACACATAGTATGGGATATCCTGTGTAAGAACTGACCATTGTTTTTTTCTACTTATTTAAAATGCGGTCTTTATAGTATTTTATATAATGTTAATACCCCGTCTCTTTAAAATGCTGCAGTAAAAAGGTTTCATGTGAAGTACATATATAGTATGGGATGTCCTGTATAAGAACTGACCATTGTTTTTTTCTACTTATTTAAATTGGGGTCTTTATAACACTTTGAAATATAATAATATACGATTTCTCCAAAACACTGCAGTAATAAGGTTTCATGTGAAGTTCACACATAGTATGGGATGTCCTGTATAAGAACTGACCATTGTTTTTTTCTACTTATTTAAAATGGGGTCTTTATAGTATTTTATATTATGTTAATACCCCGTCTCTTTAAAATGCTGCAGTAAAAAGGTTTCATGTGAAGTACACATAGAGTATGGGATGTCCTATATAAGAACTGACCATTGTTTTTTTCTACTTATTAGAAATAGGGTCCTTATAACACTTTAAATCATATTAATATACAATTTCTCTAAAACAGTGCAGTATTAAGATTTAATGTGAAGTACACATATAGTATGAAATGTCCTGTATAAGAACTGACCATTGTTTTTTTCTACTTATTTAAAATAAACTCTTTACAGTACTTTATATTATGTTAATACCCCGTTTCTTTAAAATGCTGCAGTAAAAAGCTTTTATGTGAAGTACACACATAGGATGTCCTGTATAAGATCTGACCATTGTTTTTTTCTACTTATTTTAATTGGGGTTTTTTATAGCACTTTAAAATATGTTAATACCCTGTTCCTTCAAAACTCTGTAGTTAAAAGTTTTCTTGTGTAGTACAGATATAGTATGGTATGTCCTGTATATGAACTGACCGTTGTTTTTTCCTACTTATTTGAAATGTAGTCTTTATAGCACTTTTTATTAGGTTATTACCCCGTTTCTCCAAAACAGTGCAGTAAAATGATTTCATATGAAGTACACATATAGCATGGGATGTTCTGTACAGGAACTGATCATTGTTTTTGTCTACTTATTGTAAATTGGGTCTTTATAACACTGAGTAATGCTAATACCCAATTTCTCCAAAACATTGCAGTAATAAGTCTTTATTTGAAGTTTAGAATGTGATGTACTGTATCAGACCTGACTATTGTTTTTTTCTACATATTTTAAATGAGCAATTTTTTTTCCAAATTGCTGAAGTAAAAAGTATTCAGATGTAGTATATATGCATATGGCATGGGACATCCAGTATCAAACCAGATCAGTCTTTTATTTAACTTATGTCAAACAATGTATTTATAGCACTTTAAAGACTTTATAGCTCAATAATAGCACATTTCTCCAAAATGCTGCAGTAAGTTATTATGAGGTATGCATATAATATTGGATGTCCTGTCCATAGTTTTCTTCTGTTAACTTAAATGAGGTCTTTTACATCAGGTATGCATGTACATCCTGTATCAGAACCAAACTTTGTTTTTTTTCTACTTATTTCTTTATAGCACTTTAAAGTGTGTTAATGGTACATTTCTCCAAAATGCTGCAGTAAAACAGGCTTCATATGATGTATGCTTAGTATTTGACTTCCTGCATCAGATCTTATTGTTGTTCTATTCTACTTATAACAAATAATAAGGTCTTTACAGTCATCTAAAGTGTAATGATGCCCCATATCCCATATACTGAAAGAAACATAACCTTTTAAATCCCCTTTAAATAAAATAAACATATATTTGTAATTTAAACAATGTTTTGTTGGACTACTTTATGATTGTTTTCACTTTCTGAGGTTAGCCACGTTGTATAAAATTGCATTTAACCTTATTTGCAATGTACTGTAGTTGGCTAGGATAAGTAGAAACGCATTCTGTGTATTTAGAAATCGTATATTTATTCTGTCCGTTTGATCTGCTATAAAATCATTTGAAGCAAAAAGATAAACTTGAGGAAATTAAAGGTAAGCCCAGAAACCAATTTCTTTAAATAACAACAGTCAAAAAAGCTAATAAATTGTTTAATAAAGCATACGTGGGAGGAAAGGGGGATAAACTTATATTTCGTTGTCATCTCTCTGTTCTGGGCGAAATGGGTGCTCTGTGGAGCGCTCTCTGTGTGGCTGCTGACTTTACCGTAATGATAATAATACGCGCGCACCAAAATATAAAGCGCGGCTGGCTTGACTGTGTTTTTCCGAACCGCGGCTGGCTTGACCGCAGTTAAGTTAGCTATTGTTTATAAAAGTGTTGGCTTTTAATTACATTTTATGTGTAGATGAGAGGTTTGACAATGTTTTATTGAAGGTAGTCTACTTTATTTAGCCTAAAATAAGCACTGTACTGTCAACAAGAGCGAATTAAAATGTTAAAGTTAGTACATATGTGTTACTTTGATATTTCACAGTAATGTAAACTAATATTCATTTTAAAAAGTGCTCTGTGGTTTCAGGAGTGACAAAATTACCCCTAAGTTACAACAGAAGAGAAGAGCCAAGATGAAGGGAGCTAATCACAGAGCTGGAGGAAACACAGGTAAAACTATAATTAACTTTTAAATAGATTAATGTGCATTTTTATAAGAAATCCCTACATTATCATGCATCTGATACATGTCTAACTTTGAGTTATTTTAAAGTTTTGACATCCAAACATAAGTGAGTGGTTTTAAACAATTTTTTACATTGCTTTTCTCAAAGCAGAATTTACAGCATCAGTGCTCCAGTTCAAAATGTAATATTGTATTCATAATTTGCTGCTGATCAAGCAAGATTTCTTATTTTTATCATGTTTTGTTATTTCAGGATTCATTGTTGAATAGAAAGTTTAAACTGAAAAGTATTTGAATCAGAAATCTTAACTCTCTTCTGATCAGTTTTATGCACCCTTGTTTAATACAAGTATCCATTTCTTAAAATGTTTTAGTAATATATATATATTTTTTTATTACTTTTTTCTAGATTTTGGATCGTCCTCCACTCACTCTACCACTTTGTTTTTTCCTTGCCAGACTTCATTTAAGGTAAGTAATTTTATAGTGTCACTTAAAAGTATTCCCAATGATTACTTTTATTAATGTTAATATTAATATCAACTGCATCAAACTAATTAGCCTATTAGAATGATTTCTGAAGGGTCATCTGACACTGGAGTAATGGTGCTTACAAATCAGCTTTGACCTCACATTAATAAAATACATGGTCACATTTATTTTGATGGTCTGTTTGTTGAATTTAAGCTGCATTGCATCTACATGCCATCTAATTCTCATTAGATTATAAGTAGACTGTTAGGGTTGCGGTTAGGGTTGGTGTAAGTTGACATGTACTTGGTAAATTAAGGGTTAGGGTTAGGGTCAGTTAATGTCTGTTGAAGGAGCAGAATCAACAGATATTAAGCAGACAGTCTATTAATACTCAAATGGACCATTTACAATGTATTGAAATTAAAAATCGTTATTTTAAACTGTAAAAATATTTCAGTGTTACTTTTAAACTGTAAATTAATGTTATCGATCAAATCAATGCAGTCTTGATGTCCAATAAAAAGACAATAAAAAATACAAACATTAATGTCAATAATGATCTAGTTACTGATGATGGACAAAAATAATGACTGATGATTCTGTTATTTCAGGATAAGAAAGAAGCCTGCTACAAGAGAGACAGCGGAAGGGAGCCTCAAAGACATTTTTATTAGGATCTGCTAATCATGAGGGGGCAGACAAAAGAACCTGCATTTTCCTTCAGCTTAATATCAGGGGTCGCCACAGCGTAAGGAACTGGATATTACTTTGACATATGTTTTACACAGCCTTCCAGCTGCAACCCAGCACTGTGAAACACCCATACACTCTCGTATTCACAGACACTTCTACACTATGTTCAAATTCACCTATAGCACAAGTGTTTGGACTGTGGTGGAAACCCACACCAAAACAGGGAGAACATGCAAACTCCACACAGAAATGCCAGCGGACCCAGCCGGGACTCATACCAGCAACCTTTTTGCTGTGAGGTGACAGTCTGAGCCACTGTGCTGCCCCATAGTGTAGTTATTAATAACCTCCAGATGTTTTACAGTTTGATTTTGTAATAATAATGCACGTTTAGATTTATTGTAATATGTTAATATTTATTCGCAATGTAATTTATTTTTATGTTATTTATAATAACGTTAAATGTCATAAGAATGTTATAATTTAATATAATATTATAATAAATAATTATAATAATGTTAAAATATAAATAATACTAATTTTTTAATAGTTTATTTTTATAATGAGAAGTCTCAAAGTTTGTCTTTATTATAGAAAACTCATTGTTGAATGGCTACCACTTTACAATAAGGTTGTATGTATTATTTAATGTATTTACTAACATAATAAACAATACATTTATTACAGTATTTATTCATCTTTGCTAATGTTGGTAAATGGTAAAAAGTTGTTAATTGTTTATTCATGTTAACTCGCAATGTATTAACTAATGTTAACAAGCATGACTGATTTTATTAATGCATTAGTAAATGCTGTACATAAATTATGCTGTACAGGTATTGTTCATATTAGTTCATATTTAAACCATTAACATTACTTATAAAACTACTGTAAAAGGTAACTGTTGTATGTATGTTGTTATATTATATTTGTATGTATTTTATATTTATTTTGTTATATTTGTTAACGTATGTGTTTTTGAAACATTTCATTAAGTGTTTAATGTATGTTCGTCATGCAGTATTATAAATAAATGTTATAATGATTAAGTATTTTGTACTTGATTTCATTATTGGACATATTTATATTGAATACAATTGTAAAGGCTAATATAATATTTAAAAATGACATGTGGACCGACCGCGGGCCGCCAGCAGACACTTATTTAAAACCAGGGGTCCGATGGCGGACCACCGTCGGAAAAGCGGCGGTAGCCGATGGTGGGCCGCTGGAATAACGATGAGCAAATTGACGGTGGACCGCGGGCGGCGCCCGCCAGTGGACCGCCGACTTTGCCGCCGGCGGGCCGCCAGTGGCCCGCTGGTCTTATGTTAGCTGGGTTCTAAGTATACATCACTATAAGAAATGGAGTACTAGTTTTAATCAGGTCATTTGTGGCTTTTGTTTCTTGCTCTGACTTGCCTTATTTCTTTTTGTTAGTTTCTTTCATACAAAGAGACTGTTGAAGCAAGTGTTGAAGAGAAGTTATTTTGTTTCTGTTCATTGTTTTATTTATTTTAAACGGAACATTTTTATTGTTTTGTTCATTTTAAGCAGGACAAAGTGTCCAAACACAGAGAAAAACTCCTGCTGAAGCGACTGATCTCCACACTGTTATAAAGATGGTGTTTATTAAAGAGGAGAGTGAAGATGTGAAGATTGAAGAAACAATTACAGTCAAACAGGAAGATCCACAGGAACAAACAGGTTAGTTTTCATTCTCATAGACCAACTCAGTCATTTAATCCTCATTCAGATATATTTTAATAATAAGAATACTAAATTAAATCCATCTTGCAGCCCTGAGTGTGCTGCCTAGTTCTCCTAAATGCACTTAAGCACTCATTGAAAGACAGGAATGAGTTTCATTTGTTACTTGTTCTCATGTCTTTTGTCATTCTTTTATGTATTATTAGTCTCCCATTTTCATGATCATGGGCCAAAAATATAGTTATCGTGATGATAATACGATTAATCTCGCAATCTATATACCCTTTCATTATGTTCTTGGCTGTTTTTGACCCATTGGCTTCTATTATAACCACATTTTTTAACCGCAAAGCCATGACACCAAATAATCATGCATTCTAGATTGTTGCTGTTTTCCTTGTTGGGAAGAGGTCAAATGTGTCATTTTTACTGTTGATCATCAGTTGGCTGCAATCACCCTTTAGATGGGCCTGTTTAAAAAAAGTTTCTGTCTTTTATATGGAGTTCAGTGGAGTAAAACAGCAGATTATAGTGTGAGTGCATAAATACACTTTATAGTGGGACCAACAGATTTAACCCAAAAATGACCAGTCTATCAGATGAAGAAGAGCAGGAGTCAGAGATTCAATTAAAAGAAAGTTTACTGTAGATAGTTTGCAGTTTCATCAGCAGAGGCCAGCTTCAACACTCACAACAAGTTTGTAGAGCGCTCTACATACAATCTCAGAACAACAACAATTAGATGTCTAGAATTCTCTCTTTTCTCTCTATGCAAACTGTTTTAAGAAATGTGTCAGTAAAGTGCACTGAAACTTTACAAAAACAAAACACACAGGGAATATTTGAACCTATCAGTTTACAATATACTGATGCCTGTTTTTCCAGGCTTTATTGGTGTTAATGGTCAGAAACGTTGGACCATTATTGCCTTTTTAGCATAAGCAGAGGAGAGAAACTAGCCAGACAGTAATCTGTGAATTGTGGAGCAGGCTAAATCTAAAGGAACATGTATTTTTTAGTAAGTGTACTTTTTCTTTTTTTGCTTTTATTCTTGCCATAATAAAAATATGTATTTGTAGAGCAACCCATGTTCTGCTGTCATTAATGTTTTAAGAAATTATAATGGCTAGAACTGTCCGAGATATGAACAAAAGCAAGTGATGCACCAAAGTTTGATTAAAAAAATCTTGAATGGTCATAAAAATCCTTATAATCATTAAAATAATTTATAAAAACAAAAAATCTATTTAGTTTAAAACATTGAACGATATTAACGAAATGACGTAGTTACGGAAACTTTCTACTTCTCTGTTTATCCGTCTGACTTTACAGTGGGTTTCTTTTGACTGCCCCCTGTCGTTTTAAAGAATATCACAACGGCGAACGTGGCGAGTACAGCCTCGTCCATTTCGCGGGGAGGAGCGTGCAGTCAGCGGTGGTGCGTGATGCGGTGCCAGGCTAGAGTATTCACCTTATACTTTGCCAACAAGCGAGCGCAGCCATTTGAATCTTTTTGGCACGAGACTTCCGGTCTCATTCAGTTACATTCATTTTTAGACATTAAAAACTGCTATTTTCGCTTTTTGATGTTGAAAACTGATATTTTCTTAATATATAATATTCTACTTGGTCTGTATAGTCATGCAAACATTTGCTTGTAGAGCAAGTAGTTTGACCATTTTCTGTCGTTTATTATTTCTAGTCATTTCTCCAATAGGCGACTGAATCGGAAGTTCTAAAACAATCGCGAAAACAGGCGCACTTCCGCATTTTAGAATAAGGTCAATAAATCCAGCTTCTCTCTCTTTCTCACACACTCACACACACACGCACACACTATACTCCATATAAAAGGCAGAAACTTTTTAGCACTGAAACTGATAATCAATTTTAAAAATCACAAATCTCTTCCCAACAGGGAAATGTAATGGTGATGTGGGAATGGTGATCCCCCCCAAAAAATACAATAAACAAATATTAAACAAATATATTTGTCACTTGTTTTTAAGTAGTTAATCTTGGGCGCCAGACAGAATACCTGTCAAAATACATTTCAAACAAAATATATCACGGCTAGCTCTCACCCCCAGTTACAAATAATAAAAAATAAATAAATAAATAAAATAACAAACAATGAGAACCAGAAAAAAAAACTCAGATAATTGCTGTAATTGTCTAAATAAAGTTTGTATTAGTCAAAAATGATAATAAAAACACTTTGTACTTTTCATGCACAAACAGCAGTATCAACAACAAAACAAACAATATAACAATGAAACGCAGAACCCTCAGCACTTATAACTCAGTTGAAAGAAAAAAATGCAAATGATTTCAGGCCAGCAGATTTGTCAGATTTGAAAACCGGGAAAATAATGATAACAATAGTACGGGGAGAAAACAAAACAAGAGAAACAAAATGAGAACTTGGGCAAAGAAAACAAAAACTTTTGCTTCTTACCCATGGAGCGGAGGGGTCAAGGGAAATGAGTGGGGAATGGCGAATGTGGATGTGAAGGTTGAGGGTGTTGGTGAACCCAGCCGGTGAGTTGGCAGCTGACTCCATGCCAGCGAGAAAGATAAATCGGTAAGTTGATTTTGTTCAGGACACACTGCACTGAAGTCTTTGATGACGCACTCATTCACAGACGTCACGAGCACTTCAGTAACAAGACAGCAATCTTTGCTCTGTTGCTTCAATACATACTTCCGCTCTTTGTTTCTCACAGCCGTTAAGTTTACACTGCTCATCTCGACCCGACTTCTCTACTCGTTTCCCCACACTGCAACAGTTCATTCAACTTCTCTTTCTTCTACACACCACATAATGCTGCCTTCTTCTACTCTCCTCCTCCTCCATCTTTATTCTCTCACCCATTTCCTATTTGCCGTCTCATGGGTGGAGACCAATTAAACAATGTTGACCTTCGTCAAAGAAAACACCAACAATCATAAATTCATGATTATATGCTGTCAAGGCTTTGCAATTAAAACAATTTCTTATAATAGAGGTCAATGGAGAAAAAACAGCCATGAATATAACGAAAAGGGAGTAAATTTGCCCAGAGTGTATTGAGTTTTTAAATGTTTTTTTTAAGCATTTTCCCAGTGATGGCGAATTCATTGTCTTAATGAACTTATTACTCTCATTTATATGCTTATTTGAGGAATTTCAGTGTTGTTGTTGTTAATATTTTTATTATTTTTATTATCTATTGTATTTTATTTGCACTCAAATTTTTTTTATATTAGAGGCCAATGGAGCATTTTTCCAGAATATGTCAAAATAAGATGTCCCCAAATATCAGTCCATTTGCTAGAACACCGAGAACATTTGGCCGAATTAAGCCTCAAAATCACCCCAGAATGAATGAAAATGACCCAACAGCACACAAGGGGAAAGGTGCACATTACAGCCTTCATGCAGATGCTGTACAGGTATGTCTCATGCCTGTGAGGTAGGGGTGGGCGATATGTAAAAAATATCATATCCCGATTCTTTCTGGGGAAATCACGATTCACCATTTTTATCCCGATTTTTTTTTTTTTTTTTTTTTAAGTTGGTTTTTTTAAGAATATTTAGCAAATTACAAAGGTACAATACAACCAAACTAATGTCACCACATAAAAATATACTCTTAGCATGTATGTATAAGAATATTTTAATCAAGTGAAGATTTAATGCAAGTGCTATTCTGCAAAGAAAGAACATTCAACAAGACTTCCATTACAATTACTGTACCATCAAAATTAACATTTGTTTAACAAATCTAACAAATCTTAGTTTAAC